ACTGCAAGTGATTGGGCTGATTGCAGCTGTTTTGAATTTCCTTTTGAATAGCCGGAGTTGCTACAATATTTAAGATTGTTTGCAGACAAGGTGACCGCAATTAAGAAAAGAGTAACTATCTATTTCATTCATTTATTAGAACCATTTTATAAAAGCAGTAAGTAAAATTCATTTAAATTCAGTTAGAAAATTTCGTTCATTGAAATTTATACAAAAAATTTATCGTTTATTCTTATATTATTGGTCACTTGAGACCTAATAAGAAAAAGCCGCTTTTAAGAAATAAGCTATTGCTTTGTATTTATATATTTATTAACGTATTTCATTCAACCCCAAAACACTCCGCATCCGTTTTCAACTCATAACTTTTTTTCCTAAATAGCAAATTTAATTTTGAAAAAAGATTTTCGATCAGCGTAAAAAGTTGTATCAGTAAACATTTTAAGTTCAATGACACCGAATTTATTTTCCGAGAGTTTTAAGTTCCATTTTCAAACAAATAAAAAAAATCTTATTACGCATTCGAAAACTTATTTAAACTCTCTACAATATAATCAAAAAATGTTTGCAAAAAAACTATTCAATAGTTAATTTAGAAGGAATAAACATTGTCATAACTATTTCATTCTACCCTGTTTTACTCTACCAAAGTTGAGACATTTATCGCAGAAAAAAAAAAAAAAAATCTGAAATATTCTAACAAATTTTTTTCAAAAATGTCAGATTATTATCTATTTGCTCATCAACTTTAACTGTAATCAGATCAAATGCAGCCTTTTCAACTGTGTTTAGAAACGTTTCTAAACACAGTAATAAACATTTAGTTTTTTGTGCGTTTATTCTAACTATTTCAATCTTTTGCGTTAAACATCCTTGCTTTCACAATGCTAAAGACCAAACACTAGTTTTGGAGCCACCAATGTTACCTGTACAATAGAATTTAAATGAGCAGAAGAAAAAAGGGCAGAAAAATCTTTTCTTGTAATAAATGGTTTTGTCTTACTTCAAATGATTCATGAAAACATTTAAAATATCAATCTGAATTCATTTGTTGAGGTCTCGTGGGAAGTTTATTCTTTTCAGTATATTATTGTATATTGTATATAAAAACAAAAATTAAAAAAAGAGTTGAATATAAATTGTTGTAATAATAAATTGATTATAAAAACATATTTACCATGTTAGCCATATTAATTAGCCATATTTACCATGTTAGCCATACAATGACACGTTCTGTTCATCAAAAAATATGCAATCTTACTAAGTTTTACAGACAACTGTATTTTGTTTAAGACTCCAGCAAAAATAACATTATTATTAAATTTAATATAAACAGCTTTGGGCTAATGTAAACAAAGCAAAAGGTCCTAAAAATCTGACGAATGATAAACAGCAAATCTCATGATATACAATACCCAGTAAGCACAGATCGTTTAAAAAACGTTAAAAACCGTTTTCATAGATTTTTTAAACTTTTTAAAAACGTTCTGTGCTTACTGCGTAGAAAACTTAGATATATACTGGGTAGAAAACTTAGATATATTACTGGGTAGAAAACTTAGATATATTTTAGGGTAATAACAAAAAAAATTCTTTATAAAACCACTTGCAACTGAGGAAATTTGTGTATAATTTAATATGTTTATGCTTTTTATGTATGTTTGTGTTCTGTCTGAACTTCTGGCGCGGTGTTGACTCACCCGTAAGTTGATTTATGTCTATGTTTGTTTGTATTCTGTTTATACTCTAATGCAGCGTGAGCTCAGTAACTAACTACTTACTCCAACTACAAAACGTACACTCACCTTAGACTCCTGTATTTTGTTAGATGCAGTGTTTTTCCTAATGCACTTCCAAAATGTCATGCCTGGTTTTCTCAAAGTACTGTTGCGGGAAGTAACTCCTTTTAACTACTCCAGGTCAGGTCAGGATAATCGAGATCAATCTTGCTACTGGTATCACGTAACCCAGTACCACCTGCCACAAGCCCTGCTGCCTTGCAGAGTGTGCTCTTCTTATGCAAAGGCTAGGAGAAATAAACTCCGACTAAAAATTCCCCTGCCTTGGGGCTCTTGGTTGAGTAAAGGCTAGAGATGGTGTCTCGATAAAAACACTCATCTTGGGCAGATGTTAACTGCATCCTGCTAAACATCCCCTGCCTTGGGGCTCTTGGTTGAGTAAAGGCTAGAGATGGTGTCTCGATAAAAACACTCATCTTGGGCAGATGTTAACTGCATCCAGCTAAACATCCCCTGCCTTGGGGCTCTTGGTTGAGTAAAGGCTACAGATGGTGTCTCGATAAAAATACTCATCTTGGGCAGATGTTAACTGCATCCTGCCACTGTCTTGTAGAAGGCCTCCTAGGCAAAGACTTTAGGGGTAAGCAGAAAAATTCTGCTAACCAGCCTCGAACCCCTTCTTCAACTATTAGGCTGGCGTAGATGTAACCTGTGTTACATTGTTTCCTGCTTAGGATGATGAATACTGGATCTCCTTGACTCTACTCATAGAATTTTGCTTATGCCTCCTTGATTATGGCTATGCAACTCTTCCTGTTATCTCCATATGAGGGTACAGCTCTAAAACTCAGTTTAATGGTTCTGAGGCCGGCTGGTAGTAAGGTTTCCCGAACTCTGTGGTAGCTCTCAGAGAGGCTGATTCCATCAACAGCTGCATAATATCAGAGTATTAACAGTGCCATGTTGCGCATGGATGGTGTCCCTGTTAATGCTTTTGGTGTGCATTGTCAAGGCCACATAAGGAGCCCTATGTCACGGCTTAGGGTTAATTAACAGGACTGAGACAACTGCATAGCTCATTGATTAGGAGGCTGTGCTCTATCTATGAATGAGTCAAGTTCTCATTAAACCCAAATCATGACCAAAGTAACCAAAAATTTAAAACCTAAAAAACCATCCCCACCACCTAAATATTTTAATATATCTTTTACAAATATTCGCGGTCTACGAAGCAACTTTCCATCAGTTGAGTCTTACCTCCTACAAAATTCACCAGACTTGCTGGCACTCAGTGAAACAAGTTCTGCAATTCCTTCTTCAGATGTTAGTGTTGATGGGTACTATCCTTTGATTCGTAAAGACTCCAATAGTTACATGCTAGGTTTAGGGGTTTACATACGCATTAATTCCCCAATTTGTCGTGAAATCAGATTCGAATCCTTTGACCATTCTTTTATGTGCTTTCGCCTAGCACCTCTTCACTCTATCACCTTTCTCTTTGTTCTTTATCGTTCTCCTTCTTCCCATGATTGCACTCTTTTAGATGTTATCTCTGATCAAATTGACCATGCCCTCTCTCTTTACCCCTCTGCCAATATTGTTGTTGTTGGTGATTTTAATGCCCATCACACTGAATGGCTTGGCTCTAACACCACTGATCCTGCTGGCACTAAAGCCTTTAACTTCTGCGTTTCTCAATCTCTTACTCAGATAGTTAACTTTGTGACTCGTTTTCCTGACAACCCTAATCATTTACCTTCACTCCTTGACTTATGTCTTGTCTCTGACCCTAGCTTATGTTCAGTTTCTCCCTTTTCTCCCTTAGGTGGTTCTGACCACCCGAGAAAAAAAAACCCGCTAATCCTGTTAAGTTCCTAATAAGTTTCCTACTAAAACTTAGTAAGTTCCCGCCGAGTACTTACTAGGAACTTAGTAGGATTAGCAGGTTTTAGTAGGAAACTTAGTAGGATTAGCAAGTTTTAGTAGGAAACTTAGTAGGATTAGCAAGTTTTTAGTAGGAAACTTAGTAGGATTAGCAAGTTTTTAGAAGGAAACTTAGTAGTATTACTAGGGTTTTTACTCGGAACTTAGTAGGTACTTAACAGGGTTAGTAGGTTTTTTTTTCTCGGTTAAGTATTACTTTCTAGTTTTAGTTAATAGTTTTTTTAGTTAAATTCATATGTTTATTAGGGTTTTATTTAATTATTTGAGTTTTAAAGATTTCATAGATATATTTGTAGGCTTATTTTTCAAGAAATATACGAGTTTAAGTAAAAATAATAATTTTTACTTAAACACAGAATCTTATTGAAAATATAATCCTTATAATATAACTTAACTAGTCGCTAAGCAATAAGGACGCCTATTTATAAAACAATAATAAAAATAACAAATAATTAAGTGTTAGATTGTTTAAATAGAACATTTTAAAAAAATACAATAAACAGCGATGGTCAGTTCTTTTGGTAATTTTCGCAGGTGTCAGTGGAATAATTGCACCCATAAGATTTTTCTTAATCTTTTACGACCATAACTGTAGCTATAACGTAATTTATAAAAATATTAATGTAATTCAACAACATAATAACATATATTTTATAACAAAAAAGCATATTTAACTTACCATAAATTTAGAACGATGAAAAAACTTTCATTATCATTGTTTCAAAGCTATTATAATCTAAAATTTCAAAATAAAAGTGTATGAAAATATGAAACTAAGTTAAATTAAAAAAATTTAAATAAGCCTCGTGTGTGTATATACACACATATATATATATATATATATATATATATATATATATATATATATATATATATATATATATATATATATATATATATATATATATATATATATATATATATATATATATATATATATATATATATATATATATATATATATATATATATATATATATATATATATATATATATATACACACATGTATATACACATATATATACACATATTATTTTTATATACATATAAAAAAAGGAAAATTTACAGTTGACGAAAAACAATTAATAATTGTATCTAAAATAATATTTAATTTAATAGATATTATTCGTATCTACCTGTTAAGAAATCTGATTTAGATCATTGTAAACAACAAACTCTTGTCGCCATTATGAATTAAGTTTGATGTTTCATTAATTAATTGATTGCAAACAGAATCCTAAATAACAACTTCTAATAAAAAGAATATTGTAAAGTAAATATATAATAATACAAAAAAACATAATACAATTTCAAACTTTAAAAAATAGAAACAAAACCTAATCATGTTCATAATTATTTTGAATAACAACACTATAATAAAATTTCTTTGTTTTTTTTACAAGAGCGTAGTGAGTAAATTTGCTTGAATCAAAAACAGCTAATCCACACTTTTTCAACAATAAATAAGGAGATATTTTTGACAAAACATGCTTGATTTTGATAGGAATATTAAAAGAATCCATATGACGATGAAACTTACTTACATTTTTATACAATCGACATATACACAAGATTTGTCTTTGGTTATGTGCAATAAACAAAACTTTCACAATCACATTAAATTCTATTAAATATGCATAATATGAAGCTGATTTTAATTTTTTACCATAATGATAAGCATGAAAAGTTCTATCAGCAACTCTAAAACGGTTATAAAACTGATAAAGATTTAGGTCAACATTTAAATCATTCAAATCCATATTCCGTAACTTATCTGATATATTTTGTGCTGCACCTAACACAAAAGGATTCAAAGAAAAAGTATTTAAGTGGTCTTCTGTCTGAAATCTAATAAATTTTTCAGCCATTTGCCTTCCATGGCCTTTAGTTCCTGTAACAAACCTCTTTAGTTGGCGATTTACATTTTCAAACACCATAGCAGACTTTGCTGTAAGAGGTCCAAAATTTTTTATCTGGTCAGAGAGATGCGCTAATGCATCAAAAGTGAATGTGCGAATACCTTCACCGAAATAGGAGCATAATGCCTTTTGAAATAAATAAATTAGTTGCTGACAAGCATCAATATCATTTGATGAAACAATTTCATTGGATAATGTATAAATAGATGTTGAAAGCATTAAATAAAGAGAACAAATTTCAGCATTACCAAGTTTGTAAAACACAAATGGCCCATAATACAATAGAAAATACTTGTGCTCTTGAGCTTTCCACTTAACAAGTTCATTATTCAAATTTTTTGGCTTCCGTCGAAAAAAATGTGGCAATTTTATGGAGTCTATTAGACTAAAAAGATCTAAAAGACTTTGATGAAAATCTTTTTATATAAGAAAAAATCTTCTTAAATTTTTCTTAGTTTTTATTTTTTTATTTTGTCTATTTCAAAATTATCATTTTTTTATTTATCAAAATAATAAATATTTGTCAGGTGGACAAAAAAATTACTTTTGCTACTTGTTACAAAGATTTAGGTCAGCAGTTGCATGCCGGCGTGAAGCAAAAATAGGTTGGCTTTTGCGTTGGCATTACCAACCTGAATTTTGCAGGATGTGTATATATATATATATATATATATATATATTTATATACACACATATATATATATATATATATATATATATATATATATATATATATATATATATATATATATATATATATATATATATATATACATTATATATATATATATATATATATATATATATATATATATATATATATATTTACATACACACACACACTCAAAAAATTTCAAGTTCTTCATTTAAATTCAACATGATTAATGAATAATTATGCATAATCACATTATATATAAAAAAACAGAAAATAAAATAGTTACCTGAAGCTAATTGATTGTACATGGTTTGAGATGGAACTAAACATATTGTGTGCGTTTATATATATATATATATATATATATATATATATATATATATATATATATATATATATATATATATATATATATATTAATAAAAACTTGAGTAACTAGCATTATATAACTATATACAGTAGTAATTAATCAAAATATCATAAAATTAAATTATGGAAATTTTAAATTAATTTATATAATGGCATTTATAACAAAAATCTTAATGTAAAGTAAATAAAAATTATAATACAAAATATAACAATAGTCAATAATTTTATAGTTTGTTTAACATGTTAAAAAGAAATGTTAAATCTTGTTAACAAGAGATAACAATAAAAATATATTTACCAGTAAAAAATGTTTATATATATTTTATGAGAGAGTGATTTTCAAAATTGATCAATTTTTAATGTCAAATGGTTTACTCCCTTTTGTCTTACTAAAACTTTTAGTCAAGCTTGAAGTGGTGGTTTTTTGAGATAAAAATTAAACTTTTTAAATAAAATTACAAATAAAATTTTAAGAAAATTAAAAATAAAAGTCTTTCTTTTTACTAAAAAAAAGTGACAAATCTTTATTAATAGAGATATCACTTACTCTTTTTAGTAAAAAGAAATAGTAAAAAGAAAGAGTGACAATATAATTGTTTATGATTTATGATTTTATGTTTATTAAACAATACAAAATCATAAATAATGAAAATAAAAACATCAGAAATAAAAATAAAATATAATTTAAAAAACACATCACCATACATATCACTATGAATCAGAAAATGCTCGAATTGATACAACAGAAAATGCTCGAATTTATATAGAGTTAAAATTAACATTTAAAACCATATTATAACACATTAACAAATACTCATCAAATAAACTGCAAACCACGCAATCATCACCAGATGTTCTTGAGCTTTTTCCTTATAGAATTACAAATATTAATTAGTAAAACTATTGAATCTAAAAAAGCTGTTTTATGGCTGACTTGTTTTCTGTGTGAATAAATAAAAGATGGCGTATAACAAAGACGATTTTTTATACCTGTTTTATTTTTGAAAACTTACTAGAAACTTACTAAGTAATTCGTTTAATCCTGATAAGTACTTAGTAGGAACTTACTAGGATTAGCAGGAAATTCATAAACGTCATTTCACTAATGGGAAACTTAATAGGTTTAGCCGTATTAAGCGAAAACTTACCAGGATTAGCCGTATTAGCAGGAACTTAACAGGATTAGCAGGAAGTTAAACATATTCCTAGTAGTATTAGCGGGTTTTTTTTTCTCGGGCACGCAATGATCTCTGTAAATCTTTCTTCTCGTACTTCTTTTTTGGGCTCACCTTATCATCGCACCACCTACTACTACCCTAAAGCTGACTGGGATTCCTTTCGTGATTTTCTTCGTGATGGTCCTTGGGCTGATGTTTTTTCTCTCTCAGCTGACAAATGCGCCTCCTACATAACCTCCTGGATTCAGGCTGGAATGGAAGCTTTTATTCCTTCTCGTCGGTTTCAAGTCAAGCCTCATTCTACTCCATGGTTTTCTCCTTCTTGTGCGACTGCTATATCCAATCGTAACCATTTTTTTCATCTTTTTCAAAAGAACAACTCTCTTGAGAACAAACGGCTATTTATTATTGCAAGAAATCGATGTAAAAAGGTGCTTTCTGATGCTAAACTCCACTATTCTCAGTTCACTAAATCTCGCATCTTATCGCAGAAGTTAGGCTCTAAAGACTTTTGGAAAATCTTCAACAACATTGTTAACAAGGGTAGATCTAACATTCCATCTCTCATTCATGGGACTGATCTTGTTACCTCTCCCAGGGATAAGGCAGAACTGTTTGCAAAGAACTTTTCTTCTAATTCCACTCTTGAATCTTATGGACATTCTCTTCCTTCCATTCCAGTCAAACAGGTTGACCCATTGTTAGACATTCAAATCACTCCGGCTTCTGTTGCTAAAGTCATATTTCAATTAAACTCGTCTACAGCTTGTGGTCCAGACAACATTCCTGTCACAGTCTTGCAGAATTGTTCTCCAGAACTTTCTTCAATTCTCTCTAAACTATTTAACAAGTGTTTGACTGAGTCTTGTTTTCCTGCTTGTTGGAAAATGGCATCTGTGGTTCCAATATTCAAAAACTCTGGAGAAAATTCTAACCCCTCCAATTATCGTCCGATCAGTCTTCTTTCTGTTATTAGCAAGGTCTTTGAGTCTTTGATCAACAAATTCCTCACATCTCATCTTGAGTCAAATAAACTGCTGTCAGACAATCAATACGGTTTTCGATCCTCTCGCTCTACGGCCGACTTGCTAACTGCTGTAACTGAAAGATTTTATCGTGCATTAGATGGAGGCGGTGAGGCTAGGGCTATTGCTCTCGACATATCTAAAGCTTTCGACAAAGTTTGGCATGCTGGTCTTCTCCATAAGCTTGCTTCTTATGGTGTTTCTGGGAAAGTTTTTGAGATTATCAAATCATTTCTTTCTGACCGGTTTATTAAAGTCATCCTTGAAGGCCAACACTCTTCTTTACGTCCTCTTGGATTATCGCTTACTACTGACCTTTCATGGAAACCATATATACAATCGATTGCTAAATTAGCTTCTGCTAAGGTTGCTTCTCTTTATCGTGCTCGCCATTTCCTTACTTCTGATTCCATTCTCTACCTCTACAAATCTCTTATTCGTCCCTGTATGGAATACTGTTGTCATATTTGGGCTGGTTCTTCTAACGATTCACTTTCTCTTCTTGACAAGGTCCAAAAACGCATTGTAAATGTTGTTGGACCTAGACTATCTGCTAAGCTTGAACTTCTTTCCCATCGTCGTAAAGTTGCATCTCTTTCTCTTTTCTACAGATACTATCATGGTCACTGCTCAAAGGAGTTATCGTCTCTAGTTCCATCAACTAAAATTCATTCTCGTTTTACTCGTCATTCAGCTAAGTCTCATTCGTTTACTGTATCTGTCCCAGCATGCTCTAAAAACTTTTATTCATCTAGTTTTTTTCCCCGCACTTCAATCCTTTGGAACTCTCTCCCATCTTCATGTTTTCCTGACTCCTACAACCTTCAACTTTTCAAGTCTTCTGTCAACCGTTTCCTTGCTCTATAACTCTGTTCTTTTTTTTCCTAGTAACTCTCAACTTAATAGTGGTTGCTTGCAGCCTTGTTGGGAGTGAATGCAAATAAAAAAAAAAAAAAAAAAAAAAAAAAAAAAATATAAACTGCATTTTTGATTTATTTTAAAAGACCGCACTTTTTTGGAAAAAAAATATGAGAAAATACTTTTTTTAAAAAAGGACGTGTTTTTTTAAGCTTTATTCAAGTAATGGTAATAATTAAGCAACTTTTATAAACAAATAAAATACAAAAGAGTTAGTAATCTGTACTAAATATACAAGATATGTTTAAAAAATATTTTTTCGTATAAACATCAGATTCAAAAATTCAATTTTTCTCAATTTTGCATTAGTTTCTTCATCAGTTTTACAGTACGTTTAGCAACTTGGTTAGATCTGGGAAATCGTCTGCTACGAATATCTATTTGAAGTAGATGAAGTTGCATGTTGGAGCGAGGATGCTACCCCTCTCTGTTATCAGAAAGAATGCCGTAACAGCATATATCGCACGCGAGCTTCATCTTGTCTGATGTAAATTTGAGAGTTTTTTTAAGCTGATTCGAGGCCAACGTGAAGTTGCTTTATAATGAAAATATGCCTGACATAGTTAAAAATTATCGCTTGAATTTATCTCGCCGTCCAGGACTCTTGCCTGTGTTAACATCATCTGTTGTATCGAGGCCGAAATCAGCCTTAAGAGATTTTTTTTCACTTTGTCAATGAAGGAGTAGTAAAAAGTAGAAAACCAGCTGTTTTAGTGCTTGGTTATGTTCTTTGATATTTTGGTTTGCATTTCGGAGTGGATGTTATAAAAGAAAAGGTTAGCAACTCAAGGGAAAAAGCATTGTTTCAGAATTCGAAGATTATGATACAGTTTTTTGTATTTATAAGGGTTGCAATTAAGAATAGGCTTGAGGTTGAGCTTTTGGTAGTCGGATTCGTTTTCTTGGGTGTTTTGATTCCAAAGGGGTTTATTTGACCATTGAATAACCAATCTTTCATTCTGTTAAAAACTCATTCTCCTCCATTAATTCCTCCACTCTTAACTTGTCTCAGGTAGAGCTCTTTATCCTCTGTGCTTTTCCATTCTTCATTAAGGTTGGTGGCATCAAATAACTGAGAAAGTGTTGTAGTAAATTTATCAGATAATTTCTTTTTGTTTTTGTTATATAGATCAATCTAACTATTGAGTTTTTTTTTGATGGGTGCACTGAATAATAGTGGAAAATCTAGAATTTCTCTTCATCGCAATTTTATATCCGTAATCAAAATTTTGATTCGATTCCAGTCTCAGTTTTTCCATATTGCATAGTAAATTGAAGTTTCCAAGATTTTGACGGTTTGTCAGCTTGGTTAGCTTTTCAATAGATAGAATCCCTAGATCTTTTTCTGTTTGGAAAAGGAGATTCTTCATCTAAATGCACTTGTTTGACTTTAGATTATTGCTGGAATTATTACAGGACGTTTTGTTTTGGTTTAAAAGTGATTAAATATCTTGCACTTTTCTTCCTCTTTGTAAAACTTTCAATTTTGCAATGAAAACAAGGTAGTTCATCTAAAATATTCAAAAACACTCCCTAATGTTTCAATACATTCCAGAATATATATTATATATTCCCACCTGAAACAAAAAATATATAAAATATAAAATTAATAAAGTAATCTAGTGAATAGCCCCACACTGAGCGAGTTCACAAGACATAGCTGGGATCAACACAAAGAAAATAAAATTAACAACCATCTGTAACTGCCTTGTTTATAAACAAATGTAAACAGCCGATTGGCTGTTTACATTACGGCCAATTGGAATCTGCTTAAAAGTAGTCTAGAACGTCATATAAAAGTTCATTTTAAAATTGAAACTGTCAAACTACGTGATATGTGAACAAAATTAAATATAAAAGGTGGAGGATCTTTTTTTTAGTTTTTTAAAAATTGATGTTTTCACAACTCACCGTATGACGCATATATGGCCAGAGCCGGCTTTACCACTACATCAGGGCTGATGTAGTGGTAAAGCCGGAACTCTAACAGAACTCTAACCACTACATCAGGGCTGCTTCTAAAGCAAGCGCTTTAACCACTGCGTCGCGGCTGCTAAAAAATCATTAAATATGAAATTAAAAAAGAAAATTTTAAGCGTAATTAAATGTTTTATAGTGAAAATTCCTCAACGATTTTGTTATGTGAAATAAACTTTGAAAAATTTGTCTTCAAAAATGTTTTTGATTTACTTGTTTTTGTGTGACTTACGTTCTTTCATTTGATTATTTTGATTTCTAATTTCATTTGAGATCTAAGGATTGTTTACAAGATTCCAAGTTAAAGATTTTGTTGAAATTTTTTTTTTAGACTTCTGATTTTCTCTTAACTACGCTGAAAAGTCTGAAGTAGCCAAAATATTCTTGGTTCCATGAGGGAAAATGCGGCAAAGCATAAATGATATAAATGGAATCGAACAAAAGGACACTTCCGAATTTATAATGAATTAAATAATAAAAGCTTCCTTTATTAAAAGATTTACATATATTATAAATACAAATTCAACTTATTGAAATGAAAAGCGCAGTATTGAGTAAAGTTTTTGCATTTCCGCATAACTAGTGAAACGATCAGTTTTCAAAAAAGTATTAACTTTGATTAACCTTAAAAAAAAAAAAGATTAACCTTAATTAACAAGTAGAGCTTACCATTTATGTAATAAAAACGTTTCTCCTTGAAATTGACAAATTTCATTATGGGTTATTTAAGTTTTTAAATATTCAAATTTTTTTTTTTAGTCCTGTCTTTTTTCTACATCTACGCATCCTGTCGTATTCGCCTTTACAATATATTATTCGCCTTTACAATATATTATTTATGTTAAGCTTTTTGATAAGAACAGTTAAAATAACAAAACAGGATACACGTCCAAGATTATTCACCTAATTTACTTTAATTCAATTTATTATTCATTTTAGTGTTTGATTTTTATTTTAATTTACATAGAAAGCATAAAATGTTTATTCACTAAATATTTAATAAAACAAAAATATAATGCGCAGATTGTATTAATACGTTAATAAGTTTAAACCTAATCTTAAAAAGTAATAACGTAATTTTACGTGCTTCAATATAAAAGTTATATAGATTGAAGTGAGTCTTTAGTTTATAGACTTTTTAAAACCATTCATTTTTTAAAAATTATTATGAGTAATCTAACTTAAAGATTGTTGTTTTTGTTGAAACACTTTGAAAACTAAAATTAAAATCTAAGTTGTCGAGAAAAACTGAAAATTTGCGACACATTTAATTAAAATTGAATTATAAAAATTATATATTGCTCTTTGTATAATTACAAATGATTATCTCTTTTTAAGATAATTATGAAAAATTGTCCACCATTTATTTAGAGAACCAAAATAATAATAATAACAATAATAATAGCAATAATAATAATAATAATAATAATAATAAAAATAACAATAATAACAATAACAATAATTTAAATTTGAAAATAATTTCAAAATTGATTTTGAATTAATTCTTCAGTCAAAAAAATTTTCTCTCAGAAAATTAAAAAAGAAGAAACTTTCAACTGAAAAAGAAAAAGAATAATTAAAATCAGTCTAAAGTTGAAATACAATTTTACTCGTAACGTTAAAACTTACCGTATATACCATATATATAAAAAACAAAATATTTTGTTTTCAATTTAGCGCATTAGTTACTCAATTAGTTACTCCATTTGCGGTTTTTGTGTTTTTACAACTTTAAAAAATGGCAACTTCTTAAATGAGTTTATTCAATTTTTATAATTAAATGCTATTGGCGAGCGCCGCTAATAGCTATATTTTAAATTGTCATAACAATTACAAATTGGGCTTAAATGATAATTGTCAATTATTTTTTAACTGATATTTTATTTTAAATTTACTAAATTCTATTTTAAATAATATCTAGATATGTTTTGATATTATTATATTTGTAAGGTGTTTTAATAGTACTGTTTTCAATATTTACAATCAATATTTACTACCTCTAAACTGAACACTGCTCACTAATCTCAACTACTGCTTACTAAGCCTACTGGGTTATTTTAACTGATAAAGTACTACCGGCTAAACCTACTATACTGAATAGGTGCTACCAAGAATATTTGTTCTAAAAATTATTTCTGAAGAAATTTTCTTTAATAAAAAATATTTTTTTACGATTTAGATAATAGTATTTTAAATTACAGTACTCTAAATAATTAGTTTAAATTAAATTTTTTGACAAATGCAATGTTTTTGTGATGGTCTTATCAGCCGAGACAAGAAAGTGTATTGTTCACTTATTGGATGGTCAAAAGCTAGATATTCCTCTTCAGGTTTTTTTTTTTTAATCTAATATTAGTTTTATAAATAATAATGATAAATATATAAAAAACAATGATTATAATAACATTAATAATAGTAATAACAATTGTAATTATTATTGTTATAATAACAGTATCAATAAAATATAACAAAGATAGTTATCTTGTAGCATTTTTCTAATGTTTCTTTTTTATCTGTATTTTAAATTACATTAGGAATAATTAAAAGTATTAAATAAATATGTTTTAGGAATTTTCATAGAGAATATTTAAATATTCTCGATGAAAATTCCTAAAGCATATTTACAAAAAAAAAAAAAAAAAAATTAATGAGCTATAAATATTTATAGCTTATTAACTTTATTTTGTATATAAAATAGAAAAACATATATATGTACTTATACATATATGTTTATATATACAGGGCTGTGTTATATATAAACACATATATATACATATATATATATATATATATATATATATATATATATATATATATATATATATATATATATATATATATATATATATATATATATATAAATATATATATTATATATATATAAATATATATATATATATATATATATATATAAATATATATATATATATATATATATATATATATATATATATATATATATATATATATATATATATATATATAATTAACCACTTATATAAGACTAATTATTGAATATTGCTCTCCAGTTTTATCGTCACACCAAACTATGTTAATAAAATCTATTGAAAATATTCAAAAACGATTCACAAAAAAAATCGCTAATCTTTATTCTAGCCGTTTAAAGCTGCTTGGTTTGGATTCTCTGGAGCTCAGACGTTTAAGACATGATTTAGTTATATGTTTCAAAATTATGCATAATTTGGTTTTCATAGATAAAAATATACCTGTGGTCATACTTATAAGATTCGCAAACAATGATGTGAACTCGACAT